TATCTTTAGGAGAGATGGGGTTTCACCATCTTGGCTAGGCTGGTCTCAAACTCCTGACCTCAAGTGATCCGCCCACCTTGGCCTCCCAAAATGCTGAAATTACAGGTGTGAGCCACTGTGCCCAGCCAATGTAAGAAGTTTTGTCTTGGATGTTGTACACTTACCCCCTCCTACCACCACCCTATGCTTGGCAGTGGAAGAGTTTGCCCCCTCTCTGTGTCTTCCATGGAAGATTAGTGCAATAGCTGTCCTCCCTTGTAAGATTAGGGGTGGAAAAGGTCTAGCTTCATGGGAAATGGGCCTGGGGCTTCGTTGATTCATATGAGATCCTCCTGTTGGTACCATCCGAGGCTGCATTAATAGAAGTAGAGCATCCACATGAAGAGAAGAGAGAGGGCAAGTCCTGAGCTCCTCAGTCCTGGTTGACCTCATCTGGAAGGTTGGGTTGAGCTCTGGCATCACAGTGGTGTACCATGTATCTACTAGGTCACACACAGGGGACTGTGGCATGTTTGGTGACAGGCATTGAAACTTATTAATCTTATGAGAAATAGATAACAGCTGAGGAAAAGAATATTTATCAACAATGGAATGGGTATCCTGCAATGCCTTGTCAAGGCTGAACCATGAAAAAGGAACTAGTCTTATTCTGTGTCTCTAGGGGCCAATATGACTAGTGGGCAGAAGTTACACAGCCACACCTTCTATCTCAGTCATCTTGACATCTGGATCAAGGCTCACATCCTTACCCATGTCAAGATTGGGAGGGAGAGGGACTGTCAAAGGATGGAAACTCCTTTTCAATCCTAGAATTCTAAGCTTTTACTGATCTCTCAGGAAAGTCTGGAAATTGCTAACTAGACAAAGGCAATACACAAATTTATTTATTTATTTATTTACTTATTTGAGATGGAGTCTCGCTCTGTTGCCCAGGCTGGAGTGCAGTGGTGTGATCTAGGCTTACTGCAACTTCCACCTCCCAGGTTCCAGCAATTCTCCTGCCTCAGCCTCTCAAGTAGCTGGGACTACAGGCACATGCCACCACGCCCAGCTAATTTTTTATTAGTAGTAGAGATGGGGTTTCACCATGTTGGCCAGGCTGGTCGAACTCCTAACCTCAGGTGATCTGCCCACCTTGACCTCCTAAAGCACTGGGATTACAGGCATGAGCCACTGCGTCCAGCCATAAATTTATTTTTTAAATGCATGCAGAGCTAAAAATATTCATTTGTTTGAGTAGCAATCGTTGGCAGAAGTGGGTATTTTGCCTCTTAGAACAATAAAAAAGTGTTTCACAGTCTACACCTGACTTTATATAGTCAACATTATAGGTACCCCCAAAAGCCTAAAATTAACAACTCCCAAAACCAAGGAAGCAACATGGAACTCCACTGTTTCTGGTTTCTCAGCCAATGCACCAGACAGCAACGCAGGGATTCTCAGTCAGACCTTCTACCCCCAAAAAGAGGTCCAAAACAAATAAAAAGAAAAACAACCCAAAACACAAGGGCAAAAAAAAGATGTCCCCTCTTCACCACCTGGGCTCAAATGAGGGACTTCACTGGATGATGCCACCGTGAAGTCATCTTTGTTAGAATAAGGGTCTATCAAGTTGAATAATGAAAACAGTATACATCAAAAAAAGAATTCAAATAAGGGTCTAAGTCACATACAATTGGTGACTTGGGTAACGGGGGATTAGGAGAAAATGAAGCGAGTGAAGGAGAGGGATTGTGTTGGGAAATTTCTACCTTATTTACTAATGCAACAAACATGTATAAAATGCCTGCTCTGAAATATACCATGTAGTAGGACTAGAGATATTGAGACAGACGACCCAGCTTTCACACCAAGAGCTTATAGTTACAGTAAGGAATGCTGACAGGTAATCGGTTCCATGACATCCATGCCTGGGTGCTATGGGAGGTCAGGGAAAGAAGGGAGGGGAGAGGGGCAGTGGTGACCCCTCACATTCTAAGAAAACAGATTCTGTAGCTCATACCAGAAACAGCTGCTTGACCTAGCCATTGATGGAAGCAATGTGAGTCTGATGAGGTCTTCGAGTACGGTCTTACCTCCACAGTGATGAAAACCTCCTCCAAGTGATTTGCAAAGTTTTCCATCTGGATTATCTGCTTTTCCAATTTGTACATGTTTTTGTGAATTTCATCCTATCCAACAGAGGATCACAAAGAAGGTATTAATGTTATATCTTCTCTCGCTCTTGTAGAAGGCATTTTATTTTATTTTATTTT